CGTAGAAAATGTCAAAGTGATAGGGTGAATTCGGGCGAGATGATTTTTTGTTTCATAAATTGCACCGCTACGTGTTACCAACTGACGCAAAATTCCCAAAATTTTTTTTCTTTATTTTAAACAGAATATAAATCACAAAATATGTTGAAAAATCCTCGTTACAAAAAGTTTCTCTACTCTATACTTTATTCCGATCGATGATTTTTTTTTACATTTTTTGTTTATATTAAAAGAAATTTGGTAGGGTAAATCCGGGAGAGATGGACCAGCGGAAGAAAATCGTGTCAATCCAAATTTTCTAAATCTGTTTTTCTATTTTTTTTATTTAATGTTAGTGATAAAAAAAAATAAAAAAATTTTTTTTTGATTACCCACAATGATGAATGTCAGTTTCAACTCCTTCATAAATAACACTGCTACGTGTTACCAACTGACGCAAAATTCCCTAATTTAACTATATTTTTTCTTTAAAAACATGACAAAAAGATAAAGTAGTATGAAAAACTCGTTACAAGCAATCCTTGTTCTTCAACTCTCCGCTACGTGGCTCGTATCAAATTTCAAACTCCTATTTGCTATTTCAAATTATTGTTAAAGCTTCATTCTGCTTAATTATTATTTTCGATTTTTATTTTTTACCCTTTTCTCTCCCCAAACTTTTCCAATTTTCGATTTTTATTCAAATTTTCACATCGCATCTCTAGCCTCGAGCTCGAACGCTGTAGAAGCGAGGAAAACTCATCCACCGGTCCTAAATCTAGTTACCGGATTTTGATACAGTACGCTTGTTTTGTTTCAGGGCATACTTTGATCCGAGGTGTAATGGCTGCCGCTCCGCATGCAAATGGCTGCTAGAGCACCGCCTACGCGATCAACATCTCTTACAATTAGATTGTGATCACACAACACACCATCCAAACCATCAATCATCACAGTCTAAACAGCGACGAGAGATTGAAAGATATCTCGCATTTAACGAGATTTCGCCCAGTCAAAGGTTGCTTGATTCGATTACCGAGATTCGCAGATACCGAATTGCGATCTAAACGGACCATTAAAACATGCAAATTACACTTGAGGGGAGGGGGAGGTCTTCAATTGTTTGATTGCAATCGGGGATTGATGCAAAATGTGTGTACAGTTGAGTGCAAAAAATGTGTCACATTAGTTTTGTCGTCAACTGTACTTTTTACAATTTTGGTTGAAATCAAATCGAGCAGGTGCAGTGGCTACTTGACCCACTTTTCTTTGGCAGAATTTTATTTGACATCATGAAAAATTTACAAAACAACTGAATTAATAAGTTT